GTCCTCCTCATTATAAATCGTATAATGGGTTCAAATTTGTGATCGATGCTTACTTGCTGAGCCATATTCCCAGCTCTTTATTATAATTTATTTCGAGATAGGGTCTTGCTAAATTGCTGAGGCTGGCTTTAAACTTGCAATCCTCCTGCCTAGCCTCCTGAACTGCTGGGATTACAGGCATGAGCTACTGCACCTGGCTTGTAATGTAATTATTAAGGTGAGATTTATATCCGCTGTTTTATTTGTTTTCTATGTGCCTATATATATTTTCATTCTTCTACTCTTTCATAACTGCCTTATTTTGTATTAAATAGACATTTCTAGATACCATTATAATTCCCTTTTTTAATCTAGTTATATGAACTTTTATATAGTTTTTGGAGTTTCTTTCTCTCTCTCTCTCTCTCCTTTTTTTTTTTTAACTAGGGATTAAACCCAGGGGCCCTCAACCATTAAACCACATCTCTAGCCATTTTTATCATTTATTTTGAGAGAGGGTCTCAACTAAATTGCTTAGGGCCTTACTAAGTTGCCCGGGCTGGACTCAAACTTGCCATCCTCATGCCATAACCTCTCAAGTGGCTAAGATTATAGGCATGCACCACCACACCAGCCCTTGGAGTTATTTTCTTTTTTTTTTTTTTTATTTATTTTTAATTTTCGGCGGACACAACATCTTTGTTTGTATGTGGTGCTGAGGATCGAACCCGGGCCGCACGCATGCCAGGCAAGCGCGCTACCGCTTGAGCCACATCCCCAGCCCCTGGAGTTATTTTCTTAATGGTTTCCCTGGAGATTAAAATTTTAACATAAGGTTAAACATCTCATTCATACCGAGTACAGTGGCACATACCTGTAATCGCAGCGACTTGGGAGGCAGGAGGATCACCAAGTTCAAAGCCAGTCTCAGCAACTTGGCAAGGCCCTAAGCAATTTAGGGAGACCCTGTCTCTAAATAAAATGTTAAAAAGGGCTGGGGATGGGGCTCAGTGGTTAAACATCTCTGGTTTCAATCCCTAGTACCAAAAATAAACAAACAAATAAACACCTTGTTCACTTGATAATTAACAAAATTAATTTCAGTAATTTCCACATCCTTTGTCTTTACTGTTGTACAAATGACATCATTATGCATTATGTGCACATTCTACCAGATTTATAGTTATTGCTTTATGCAGTTTTCTCTTAGAAGAAAAGTTACTAACAAAAATACTTTTTTGGCTTTCTTTTAAATTTACCTATGCGGTCACCTCTTCCGGTAGCACTTATTTCTTCATATGGATCCAAGTTACTGTCTAGTGTCATTTCATTACAGAGTCATTTCATTGAAGGACTCTCTTTAGTATTTCTTGGAGGACAAGTCTAATAATAAAAATTTCTTCCAGGGGCTGGGGTTGTGGCTCAGTGGTAGAGTGCTTGCCGAGCATGTGTGAGGCACTGGGTCTGATCCTCAGCACCACATAAAAATAAATAAAATAAAGGCCCACTGACAACTAAAAATAAAAATTAAAAAACAATCTTCCAGATTTTATGTGGGGAAATCTTAATTTTTCTTTTTTTGAAGACATTTTTAAAATTTGTCTCCAAATTGTGATTCTCCTGCTTTAGCCTCCCAAATTGCTTCGATTACAGGTTGTATACCATGGCTCCCAGGAGTGTTTCTTTTTAAAAACTGAGTGCCAAAGCAACCTACCTCCTACCCCCGGAGTCCTCCCAGGTACTGGAGACTGAACCCAAAGGCACTCTACCACTGAGCTACATCCCCAGCCCTTTTTATTTTTTCATTTCAAGATAGGGTCTCACTAAGTTGCTGAGGCTAGTCTTGATCTTGTGACACTCCTACCTCAGCCTCCAAATGATGAAGCAATGTCTTCAAAATTCTAAAGAAATTAATTGCCAAACCCAGAAATCTACATATTAATTGTCAATCAAGTATGTGGGTAAAATAAAAATATTTTTAGGCATCTAACTCTCAAAATGTTGTGAGTAAGCTACTGGAAGAGTCATTCAAAAACAATAAAATAAACAATGAAATAAGCCAAGAAAGATAAAGATATCTGGCCAGGCACAGTGGCACATGCTTGTAATCCCAGCTATTCAGGAGGCTGAGTCAGGAGGATCTCAAGTTTGAGGACAGCCTAAGCAACTTGGTGAGACCCTGTCTCAAAAATAAATAAATAAATAAATAAATAAGGCTGGGGATATACCTCAGTGGTAAAACACCCTGAGTTCAATCTCCACAAGGAAAAAAAAACAGACATTGAACACAGAAGAGAGACAAAAGTAAGTCCCCAGATGGTGATGAGAACTCAAAAGACCGATAAATAAACATGGAGTCAAGTACGTCCTATCTTTATTTATTTATTTATTTATTTTTGTGGTACTGGGGGTTGAATTCAGCGGCACTTTCCCATTGGGCCACATCTCCAGCTCTTTTAATTTTTATTTTGAAACAGGATCTTGCTATGTTGCTGAGGCAGGTTTTAACCTTGCAATTCATGTACGTCCTATCTTGCTATAACAAAATGAAGGATTCTAGGAAGAAGATCTCCATGAAAACAAGGGTATTAGATAGAGTATCAGGTGTGTTCAGAGTTAACAGGAAAAGTTTTAAATTGAGGAAAGAATAAATAATAAACATGAAGAAATTTGAAAAAGAAAAACAGGCAATCACTAATTCTAACAAAAACCCAAAATCAAAGAAAGGAATCATAGTCAAAATATATTATGTGATGGCTGTAATAATATCATGTACACTGAAAAACTACTTAACCAGGCTTGGTAATATAAGTAGATTGGGAAAGTTGAGGTAGAAGAAGGGAGCCATGTGCCAGTGCTGTAAGATTCCATTTTCTGTAGCAGAAAAACAATAGCTAATGTCTCAAACAGAAAAAAACAAAAATACTATTTAGGAGACAGGAGATACAGGCTAGATAAAAAATAACTAAGAAAGGTGAAAGTTGTTGCCAAGGGGTAGCAAGTGCCAATCATAATGGTGATGAAAATATGTAACAAGAGAACTACTTAAGAGGTGTTAGAACTTCTGGTGGCTACCATCGCTCTTAGGGGAAGACAAAACTGGGGAGTCTCTGCAGGTGGTCAGAACCTTAAAATCTAGGAGCAAATTTGTTTTGAGGCAGCTCAGCTGAGGAATCAGGAGAAACTCTGGGAGAGACAGGATCAAAATAGTTTCAATATAAAGATTTCTTCTGCTAGATACAGAATAGCAGGAAAATGGCAAAAGTAGACAAAAACTAAGATGATGATAAGGACTAGAGTCCAATGAAACATTATGATTCAGAGAATCCTGATATGACTATCTTTATTCTAGATTTAGAATAAACACTGATTAATTTCCTCTTTGACCTGGTTCAATGGGGTTTAATAAGTATTTCTTAAAGTTTATAATTCAAAAAAAGAAACAAAAATTAAAACAGTTATTTGACTTAGAACAGAGCTGTGTCACTAGAAATTCAATGTAATTCCCCTAGAAGAGTATCAGTTGTATGCAAGGCCCTGCAAAGGATAGAAAAGTAAGATACTATGGCAGATTGTTCTTTTCAGAAATAGTCACAGCAGTATCTCTAGTTGCACACATTCTTCCAGAACCTTGCCATCCCTCAAGTAAATGGTGGAATCTCTTTTCCTACCCTTGAACCTGGGCAGGACTTTGTAACTAACTCAGTGTGTAGAACCCAGCAGAAGTGCCGTGGTATGACTGCCACAGTTGAGGCAATAAAAAGCAGCATGACCCCTACCTGGTTCTCTCCATCTCATGAAATGTCAATGCTTTGAATCCACCTACCATACTGACAGGAAGGCAAATGGCCACATGGAAAGACCATATCACAAGACTCACATGGGAAAAAAACTGGAGCCCAGTGTTCCTGACCATGAATCTCATACATCCTTGTGGTATAGCAAGAAGCTTTAAGGTAACTTGTTACCTTGTTGTATGCCATGAAGTTCTAAGGTAATGTGTTACATAGCCATCAATAGCCAAATAATTCTTTAAAAAAAAAACATTCAAGAGTGGTAAGTAAGCACACAAATAACTAAAATAAGTTAGCAGGATGTGATAACTACTACACAAAATATAAACTAAGGGTATTGGAAGAGAAATATAAATCATTCTTGCTAAAAGATAAGAGCAGAGAGGGAGTGAGGGAAAATGGGAAAGGTTTGACAGGTAATCTTTGAGCGAGGTTCTCCAAGACAGAACTTTGAAGGAAAACAATAACAAGAAAAAGAAAGGTATAGTAGAACATGGTGACAAAGTAGCTTATTATATGGACCTTTGAGATAAAAATTCATCATCTAACATGTCAACAGTATCAAAATATTTGTGGGACACTGTAGGAAACATTCTAGAAAGAGACAAATTGGAGTTTGAGAAACTAACATCAATCACATGAAATAGTTAAACCTCTTGCTGTTTAACCTGTATGCAAAGGGCTAGCACCAACCCTAAGACTGAAAGGCACTTATCAGCACTTCCTTTGATGTACAGGCCAAGACAAAAATCAGTACCTTGCTTGCTCACTGTCCCAGACTCAATATCAGCTTAATGACAGCAATTTTCCATGGTTAGCATTCTAGGAGTTAGAATTCTAGGAGTAACATATAAGAAAGCTTTTGTCTTAAACCAAAATGAAAGAATCAGCACCTAATGATAGCCATAAAAAGCTGAGTAATTCATAAGCTGCTTTAATTGCTGAAATTTACCCCCAATTTCCCTGATAAGGGCATGAAAATTATGTCTGCAGGCATCAGGCTGACAACTAGGGAAATACTTATTACTTACCCAACCAAATTGAAGCTTTTGGCCCTTTGAGCTGAAAGGAAGAACTGTGAGCTGCTTGTTCCATCAACAAACAATGGTTCTTTTAGAAACTCACCTTTGATGTGGGATCTCTCCCTCTATATCAGACCTTCTGTTCAAGAGTTCAGAGAGGTAGTCCTTAAAAACCCAGAAACTTTAGGATTTCTGTTCTCCTCACCTCATAAAACTTCTTCAATGAGCCCACCAGGCACAGCTTCAGGCTGTCCACAATCTCCTGATGAGGCATCTGGAATACCACTCGAGAATACCACTTAGTGAGGGTGCTGGGCGGGTGCGTGGGCAGACAGAGGGAGAGACAAAGAGAGGGGACAGTGAACAGACACTCACATAGGAAGGCATGGTCTGCATGTCACACACAGGTTTCTCTCTGAATTAAATCAATAAAATATCTAGTAAATGTATTTATGCATTGAGAACATGGAGGATATGGGAAAATACATTTAAGCCACATATAACATCAAAAATATAAAATTCTGAGTATTTGCTACAAAACTGCTTCCAAGAGGAAAAAAAAAAAAAACCAACTACCTTATAGTCATCATAAATAAACAGTGACACAGCATACAATAAATTCTGTGTAGCAGCTCAAGAGAACTGGTTGAGATGTATTTGTTCTGATATAGGAAAATATCCAAAATATACATTTGAAGTGAAAAAAACACACTGAGAAATAATCTGCACAGTAATATCCTATTTGTACAAATTACAGACATATGTGTATATATCATATATATAAACAATCACATGCCACATAATATTATTTCAGTCAAAGACAAATTGCATATTTGACAGTGGGCTCATAAAATGACACTGCCTAGTGATGATGTGGACAATTTAATTTGTGTAAGTACACTCTATGTAAGTACACATATGACTGTATGTGTGTGTGGGGGTATACACACACACACATATGTGTATATCACATACATGTTAATGTATGTACAGAAGAGAATCTGAAAGCATATATACACCAAACCTTGGAGGTGGCTGGTAAAAGATAAACAATGAGGAAGTCTCACATTCTCAATTTCTGCAGATACTGGGAATAAGCATATAAACAAATACCACCTCATTTCTTGGGGGAGCCAACAAGACAAGGCACAGCCTACATGCTCACAGGAGGCTGGGCTGCAGTGGGCAGCAAGCCTGGTAAAGAGGCTGCATTAAACAAATGCCATAAGAAGACAGAGGAGGGAGGAGGTTAGAACTATTCATATTATAAATACGCAGGACTCCAAAACATGTGCTGGATTTACAACATCAGGCATCAAAATGAGATAACCAAATACAATAGAACCAGTAGTACTTACAGATTGATGCTTGCAACGAAGCCAACCACAGAACGCATGCCTCTGCTGGGGTCATGGTAAATATCCATCCCAATCACCATTAATTGTTTCTAATTTAGAAAACAAAAACAAAAAGCAAACCCAAAATCTAAGCAATCCATTGCTCCATCTTTAATTATTATCTGAACCCCAAAGAAACCTCTCTCTAGGTTTACTAATTAAAACAAATTCTGGGAAAGAAAGATAAAGACTCCCATCGATTTAACATGTTCTTGGGCTTTGCTCAATTCTTTCTTTATAAAGCCTCAGACTAGCAAAGGAGTGCAGCTATATTCTAGTGAACCATATTTAAGGACACTAAAAAGTGAATTTCATATAATTTTCGAGTATCATAAAATATTTATATTTTTTTCAGCATTTAAAAAATGTAAAAACCATTCTTAGCTCATGGACTGGTCAAAACAGACAGTGAACCATTTAGACTCCTGGTAGCACTGAGGGCAGAAAAGACAACCAGAGGAGAGCACTAGGAGAAGAGCTGGAGAGCACTCTTTGGAGAGTTGAACTGAGGGAAGACACCTCAGCAGCACTCACCAGAGGAATATCCACTCCCCACAGCTCGCCTCCCAATTTACAGTTAATCTGAAGTAAAATTTTCTGAGCCACACTGCGAAGCCTGGTGGGTTGACCAATGGTTCGGACATTGATGACCTACAGTGATAACAGATACGGGAAAGGCAGGACATTATCAAACTCTCAGAAAAATGAATCATTTCCAAGTAAACACAGTTGTTCCTTTGTTCCAGAACCCCGAGAGTGCCAAACTCCACAACGCACAAGCCCATCATATGCAATGGCACAGGATGTGTACCTAACCTGCACACATCCTCCCATGTACTGTAAATCACCTCTAGATGACTTACAATAATACAGTGTAATTGCCATGTAAATACAATATAATTGTCATGTGAATAGTTGTTTCAGCTTATTGTTTAGGGAATAAGCACAAGGAAAAAATTATACATTTTTGGTACAGACACAACTTTTCTAAGTATTTTCAATCCATGGTGGGTTGAAATCCACTGATGCAGAGCCCACAGATATAGAGGACTGACTACACTACACTTAAGGAATTTGAGATAGCACACACTATGTTTGGGACTAATAATTCTAATTCTGATGTCTCTAGGCATGTGTGTACATACATGAATACACACACATAACACAACAAAAAAAAAACCTCAACAAATGAAAACTTTTGGGCTGGGGATGTGGTTCAAGCGGTAGCGTGCTTGCCTGGCATGCGCAGGGTGCTGGGTTCAATCCACAACACCACATAAAAATAAAAAATAAAGATATTGTGTTCATCTAAAACTAAAAAATAAATATTAAAAAAAATGAAAACTTTCAAGAGCACCTGGTGCAGAGTGAAACTTTTTTTGAGGGGGTAGGAGTTTACTGAGGGTTGAACCCAGAGGTGTTTAACCACTGAGATATATCCCTGGTCCTTTATTTTTTATTTTACTTCATTGCTGAGGTTGGTCTTGAACTTGTGATCCTCATGTCTCAGCCTCCAGAGCTGCTGGGATTATGGGTATGCACCACCATGCCGGCTCATGGTAAAACCTTATTTATTTATTTATTTATTTATTTATAAAGAGAGAGAGAGAGACAGAGAGAGAGATTTTTTTTAATATTTATTTTTTAGTTACCGGCGGACACAACATCTTTGTTTGTATGTGGTGCTAAGGATCGAACCCGGGCTGCATGCACACCAGGCGATTGCGCTACCGCTTGAGCCACATCCCCAGCCCGGTAAAACCTTTTTTAAAACCCCACTCCCCACCAACGAAAAACAGCCTTCTCCTCTCAAAGTGAAGCCTCCACTCTTAGAACTGATCAGGAAAAAAAAGAACTGAGCAGGAAGGTGTCCTTTTGAAGAACTACCTGCTCTTTGCCAGGTTACTCTCAACAGGGGACTCTTTTAGCCCAAAGCTCCAAGTAATGGCTTCCAATAGTTTTTATGGTCTTTTTGAACACATGCACTCATCTTCACAAACCTCAGAGGAGGCTGGGGCAGCTGCCTTGCCTCTTCTCCACTCTACTTACCTGTGAGGGCACTGGGGATTGCACACAGCACAGCTTCTTGATGGCCCCATAGAGATCATCACGTGTGCCCGTAATGATGCAAACAACCATCTGTATCTTCCCCTTGAAAAGATAAAGCATAAAGGATCAGGTTCCCAAACTCTCTAGGGACTTTCATAGGACTGAGTTTGCAAAGTCATAGGACCTTTAGGATGGACAAAGAACTAAAGGACAGAAAAAGGCTCTTGAATCTGAATTAGCATTCATTTGGCTCAGGACTGCTCTTTATGGATGTGTGATGTTACTATTTACTATCTAGAGCTGGTCCTGATCACCAAAGATTTATTTACGAGGAGACTTTAGACCCTGGAAAAGGACCAGGTTTGAAAATATGCAAGAGTTCTATTACTTGCTGCTTTCAATTCCCTGTAATGTGGTTGACCACTCTCTGAGGAAATGTGAAATGCAATACTATAAGAAAGGTTCAGAGTCAAATGCAGAAGTAATGATGTTATTACCAAGTCCACAGTAGCTACTCTTCACTCTCTGGTTAGGGAGAGAGAGATAATGCTGATAGCATCCCTCCTGTCAGTATCTTCTATCCCTCACTGCTTTAGAGAGCCAAAGTTGAGAACAGGATCTTCCAAAGTATGCAGCACTCAAGAGAAACAAGGTTGCCAATGCCCTATGTCAGACACTGCTATACATCCAAAGCAGTGGAACACTGCTCCTGATCAAGACCACTATCTGAGTGTGGTGGTGCATGCCTGTAATCCAAGCAACTCAGAAGGCTGAGGCAGGATAATTGCAATTTACTGAGACCAGCCTCAGCAACTTAGTGAGACCCTGTCTCAAAATAAAATGTTAAAAAAAGGACTGGGAATATATCTTAAGTACAGTGTCCCTGGGTTCAATCCCTTGTACAAAACAACAACAACAACATCCTCCCTCCCTCCCTCCCTCTCTCTCTCTCTCTCTCTCTCATTAGGACAGAGAACAATGTAAACCTAGATTGCACACTGGGAGCCAATGGGCTGGACACAGCAAACAGATGTGTTTGTTTAGTATCTATTGTGATTTATAAGTTTTTTTTTTAAATTTAAACACAGGGAGGTATATTTATATGCAAATCCTGAATTCTAACTTACACTGAAAAATGAATAATGAATCAATTTGGCAATGGTGAGCTTGTGTCTCTGGTCATAGGGATCACCCTCTTTAGTTACCACAGGTACCTCCTAGCCCTCTTCACTCACTGATGTTATTTATTATGCGGACCCTGCACACATCTGATTTTGTGATCTCTCACAAAGAGAACAATAAAACCGAATGCCCTGAAGATGAGAAAGAGACAGAGTACATGAGGTACATGTGGTGAGCATTATGAATGGTACTCATATCACACTACATGAAAACTATTGGCTATGTGCTCTCACACAGAAACACAAGAAGTTCTGAAATGGGGAGTCGTGTACTAAACTGGGCTAGTCCTCTGAAAGCAGAGCGGAACTTATCACTAACCATGCTGGAGGGAGGCCATGGCAGAATATGACATACATGGGAAGCTGGGAGGAAATTATGAAGGGAACACCCAAGATAGGACATGAAAGCTGGGTGCCCTACCACAGGCCTGTTAGTCCCAGCTACTTGGGAGGCTGATGTGGGAGGATAATTCGAGCCAAGGACTTTGAGGCCAACATGGGAAACAGTGAAATCCTATCTCAAAATCAGAGAGAGAGAGAGAGAGATCATGAGACTATGATCTATGAATGATACACCAAGAGAAGTGGGTCACAACAAGAAAACTAGGATGTCAAGATAATCAAATTCTAGGACTGATCTCATCAATTCAATTCACCAGTCTTCAATTCAAGGGCAAATTACTTCCAAAAATCTTTCTTCTGCCTTTGTCCTCTCCCTAGTCTTCTTCCTGTATTTTGTTTACAAACAGATTAAGAGCAGGAAGATCTGGACAGCTGAATTGTGAGTGCTATGACCTGTTCAACTCCAGGGTTCCAGATCAGTTATCAGGACCCAGTCAATGGGCCCTCAGCCAAGTTCATCACCAGAGCAATTCAAGTCTTGAGCCAGACCAGACAGTGACAGCTCAGTACTGAATAGTGAAAGATGGCACCTGGCCCAAGTAGTTATTTTCTGAGCACAACATGTTCTATAGATAATGAACTGAAGTCAAGTCAGCTATTCTCCTAGCCAAGTACGTGAGAAAAAGAACACTAGAATGAGTGAGGGTGCCAACACAAAATGAGAGAAACAAAAATAACCAAAGGGCATTGAGAATACTTCCTCAGCTCAGTACTTCATGTGCAACTCAGAGGTTCCGTGACATCATCAATAGCAGACTGTAATCAAGCATTGACAATTGAGTAATCAAGTATTTTAAAACAGAGATCCTATACATTTACTCAAATTAAGTTAATTTATTACCTCAACTCCCAGCATGGACTGAATGGTTCTGATATAGGTCTCTATTCGATCATCCTTCAGTTCGACCCAGGCCGGTGGGCTCATGCGCATACCAATGGGGCCAGCTATTTTCTCTAACATGTTAACCAGTTCTCTGGCCTGATCAATTGCTCTCTTTGGGTAAAAGAGTGCCCAGAAATGCATGGGGATCTAGGAACAACCACAAGCTGTTTTTAGTATTTCTTACAATTTAAAACATACCAAACTCACACTCAGGAGATTTTATTATAGAGAATAAATTACTTTCACTTACCCTGCTTAAATCCGGTCTTATCTAATTCCTACTAGCCACATGAATGTATAAGTAAACTCTGACATATTCTCACAGTGGAATACTATTCAAAAGATGTATACAACCACAATATAGATGAAATTTATGAATACAAGACTGAAAAATAGCCAGATATAAAAGAACATACATTCCATGAGTCCATGTATATATGAAGTACAGGAAAACCCAAATGAATTGTACTTATACTGTGACCATATCAGGACAGTAGTTATTCTGAATGTGTGGGGAGGGTTCAGGGGTAGACTAACTGGGAGCATGGAGGGATGCTGGAAAGTTTTGTTTCTTAACCCCTGGTGCTGATTACACAAGTTTATTTAATTTGTGAAAATTCATCAAGCTATATACTTATAAGTGTGCCGCTTCTTTAAATACATTTCAATTAAAATCTCAAAAATTTTTAAATAGAAATATTTTATACATGGCCACAAAGACCAGGCTGGTCAAAATACTTAGAAATAATTATATACCACTTTGTTATTTGATTCAAATAGCTAATATGCCAGTTGCCTTGGTGGGGTACTGTTTTGACTTCTTTCAAGGATAAAAACACCTCCTGCCCTCAGTGAAAAAGAGGGAGAAAGGAGAAAGAAAGAAGAAAGGAGGAGAGTGGGCCATGAGCTGGCATAAGATGAATCACTATGGCAACAATTTCCTTCTCTACTTCCCATAACAACTCCTCCTCTGCTTTGTTTGAAGGACCCTTGTTTAATAGGGAATTTAGAATGGAATTCAGTGGTACTTTCTCTCATTTCTGTTTCCAAATTTCAGTACTCTGGGGATAATGGTTTTCTCTCTCTCTCTCTCTCTCTCTTTTTTTTTTTTAGAGAGAGAGAGAGAGAGAGAATTTTTTAATATTTATTTTTTAGTTCTCGGCGGACACAACATCTTTGTTTGTATGTGGTGCTGAGGATCGAACCCGGGCCGCACGCATGCCAGGCGAGCACGCTACCGCTTGAGCCACATCCCCAGCCCATGGTTTTCTCTTTATCCCTTCAAAAATCACTTACAGTTAAGATGGAAAGGTCTCTGGTTACTTCCTTAATCCAGTTTAGGTCCTGAGATGTGATAAATGAAGTATTTCTTAAGTTAATTCTTTCCATTGGTAGAACACGTCCTTCAATCTAAACAGAATATAAAGTATCTATGACTTTATTAAGCATTCATCTATGAACACTACATGGGAAAACACTGATTCTGATGACTCTGAGGCCTAGTCATCTCTACCTCATAGATTTGCCCTGTTACAACTTTTGAGAATAGCAGAAAAATGAAACTTCTATCAGCAAGATCCATGTCAATCGAAATCTGGACAAATGTGGGTAAAATGCTTATAGGTACTATTCTTTCATGGTATCCCAAGAAAAGGGTTGGAAAACATTATCTCCTTAGAACCAGTGAGTGGAGGCATAAAATATAAAGTATTTTATGGGAAACTTGAAAAGAGAAAATTAAAGGCAAAATTTCTTAATAAGATAAAAAGAGGCAACACCCTCACCCTATTTAATTAATTTTTTCAGGTTTGGGGATTCTGCTTCAGATTTGCCATGCTAGGAAAATGCTCTACCACTGAATTACATCCTTAGTCCGTATTTAATTTTTTTTTAACTCAACCATTATCCTCATTTTACAGATATGGAAACAAAGAGATGCTAAGCAACTTGATCAAGACAACCAAGATGACAGGGATTGGAGCAACTCAGGCAAACCCAGATGGAAAAGGCCACCAGATAATTCCAGTATACAAGCTGGAGACCTCTTAGGTCTACAGAAGGAATAACAGTAGCATATTCAAGGAAACACAAATTAATTAATTGAGAAAAAACAACTTGGGGAATAAAAGAACAACAACAACAACAAAAAAGGAAACGGAAAGACATACAGAACTTTAATAATAATTTGGGTTGAAAAACTAAATTGAAGTAAGTTGTCAGTGAATACTCATTCCTCTTGATGTCTATCTGACCAGAAATTATTAGCTTAGATCCCTTGAAAATACAGAGGGAAAAAAAAAATCTGTAAATGATACTAGCATATTAAGTCAAGAAAATTTAAGTACCATCTAATGAAAAAAAAAAAAGGTATAAGAATAAAGCCAAAACTCCACAATGAAGTCAAATGAGGAGGCTGTCAGCTGGCCTCACACGGCTCTAGAACCTCAGCTGTCTGTTCCTGCACCTTCACATCTTCTGGTTTACCTTGTGCACATCCTTTTGTAGACAGAGGCCCCAACGTGTCAGTTCGTTGTTGGCCGTCTCATTCTTTGAAATTCTCTGTAGTAAGCATTCTAAAGCGTTATGGTGCTGTTTGGGGCTCAGGTTGATCTGCTGGGTCAAATCCTAAATAGAAGTAAAATGGAGATAACAAGTTAAAGTATTGGGCTGGGGGCGTAGCTCAGAGGTAGCGCATTTGCCTAACGTGTACAAGGCCCTGGGTTCAATCCCCAGCACTGACACACACACACACACAAAATGTAAATATTAATTTATCTTATATGAAGTTAGATATACAAACCCAAATGTGTCTGAAATATTTCCATAAACCTCTTTAGGTTTGGGGGATGCTGTTTCATATTTGCCATACTAGGAAAATGCTTTACGACTGAATTACATCCTTAGTCCCTATTTAATTTTTTTAACTCAGCAGAAATTTTCAAATATCATGGAGGACTTTTGTAAATCTTTCTCAGAAACGTGAAAAAGGAATACATTAAAACTTGAATAATAAAAGAATTTTAAAGGTTACTGACTTTTTCTTATGAGATCTAAATCTTTTAGCTTCCTCAAAGCTTGTTCTAAATTTAGAAATTCCAAACAGAGTCTATGAAAAAAGACTCAAGCAAAAAGGGCTTGAGTACACCTATTTAAAATTTGAGAAAAGTCAGAGGAAAAAACATATGCCAGCGTCCAGCCATACACAACAAAAGAGCAAACCACATTCAGTCTTACACTTTGTCACACTATACTAGCCATTTTGATGTCAGCACAAGGCACTCTTTGCCCAGAACTTGCCACAGTGTTGACCCATATGGGTGCCTGCTAAATACTTTTATTGAGTAATATCTAGCAAGTGTATATGAAGATTCTGAATCACATGAGTTCTTTATTTGTTCTTTTTGGACTAATGAGTTGTACAGCTGCTGTGCAGAACAACAGCTATGGGGCTATCTAGATAGCTCTGTGATCATAAAGTCATTAGGTAACTAGCAGTTGTAAAGAAGGGGCCTTGACCTACATAATCATAGAAGAAGGTAACAGAGAAGAAAGAAATCTCCCACAGGAATATTCAGCTTCACTCCAAGATCTTTAGGATACTAATAAAAATTTGACGTGGCATTTAAGTCCAGGACAGGCAAGGAAAGCAAGATAGCAGAGTAGCTCAAGCATGGACCCTAGAGTGGCAGGCAGTGGGTGGAAGCTCAGCCACACACTGCCTGGGAGGGGCACTGTCCCTACCTCTGCTTCTCAGCTAGTTCTGGCTAGTTCACAGTCCCGGCACCTCACAGCCCTGTGAGACAAATGTCTATATTCATCTTCTCACTGACTTTTTACTTGTCTTCTCCATACCTTCAAACAATCGGAAGGCATGCTATTATCTTTTAGTTCTCTCCAGAACCTCATGTGCAGTCACATGGCCAGTCACCCATCATCCATATCTTCAGGATGGAGACAGGGCTGTTTAACTTTGAAATTCAGTCCCTCTGCTGCCCTAATTACCTCAAAAGGAAGCTGTGACATGCTTTTCCACATCAGTGGGGGAAGAGTCACAGATCCTGTTTCTGATAGAGGAGTTTGAAAGAATGGGCTTGCCCAGGTGACAACACAAGCCACAGTGAGAGCCAGAATCTGGTCCAGTTCTAAGTCAAACTGCTAGCTCAGGTGACCACTCAACACAGGAGGAGTTTTCCCCCTGGAAACAGTAGATGCCAACCTTCATGGCTCTGAAGTCCTTCTTCATCTTCTCTGGGATCCCAGTCATGAAGGAAAGCTCGGGCAACAGGAGGATTTCGCCTTTTAGCAGCTTTGGAGAGAGAACAGAGAGGGAGGGCAAGCAGTGAAGGAGGCTGGCAACACTCTGGCCCAAGGAAGCATGGCCAGGCCACAGCTTACACTGAGGAGCACAATCATGTCACCGGTTGTCCCCTCAGTCACAATACAAACAGCCTGCTATAGAGGGTAAAAGGAAAAATAATGAAACTGTCAAAAAAAGAGGGAAACCTAGAAAAACAAAACATACTTTTCTGCCTGGCCTCAAGACAATGGGAAGGCAACCCATCAAGCTGTGTGCCTCTCTTTCCTTTCATCCTAATCCTATCCTCCTATTTAAGGCAGGGAGTCAGGTGACAGGGTACTCTCCTCCCCCCAGGGCCCTACCCCACTTAAACATACCTTCCCTACTGGATCCAGAGGTTTTAATGTCTATGCACAGGACATTCGCCTTATCCCTTTTATCTAAATTGTTCATGTGGATATTTAGCTCCTCCTTGTGGGGACTTCAAGAGCAAATCCTACCAGTGTGATGCAGCATCTCTTGCCAGATGAGACCAAAAACCTTGCCCAGCTTCCCCACCACACAGTAACCACAGCTCCACAGCTCCCTTGAGGCTTGGGGTATGATCCAAGCAGCCACCTTGCCCTGGAAGTGTAAGTTAGGCAATACACTCACTGTCCCGTGGTTATTCTGTCTCTCACTGGGTCTGTGAATCAGCAGCGGCTGGTCTTCTTCCTTAATTGTGATTCCATAGTTTTTGCTAGAGCAGGGACGAGGCAGAAAAATTTTCAGGAGTGACATCGATATTCTTACAGCAACACACACTGAGTCTCTGTCTCTTACCAGGATCAAGGCTTATAATTCACATAAAACCCTTGTGTCAAGAATCCATTGGAAAAGGATAATGGACAAAGTAGGTTTGAGTCACAATGCAATTAAAGAGGAGAACTAAGGCTAATGTCCAAGAAAGAAATATGTTAACAACTTCCTCAGGCTAATGGGCTCAGACAACTTTTTTAGGTGAAAAGTTAGTTGAATAATTAAGGACTGGAATTTAATGTCTCCAACCAGGCTAAAATTCTAACAAAACCAGGTAAGGAAATACAATTAATTTATGTAGTAATTTCCCAAAGTATTAAAAGAATGGAAACTGTCAGGACAGCACATTCAGGTCAACCCCATAAACAAGCTCACTGGATCTTAGGTACGTTACCAATCCCATTTTTTTTTTCCATTTCAGAGGAGGTTTTTATTTTTATTTTTATTTGTTCTAATTAGTTATACATGACAGCAGAATACATTTAGTTTCATTGTACATAAATGGAGCACAACTTTTCATTTCTCTGGTTTTACATGATGTAGAGTTGTACCATTTGTGCAATCATACTTGTACCTAGGGTACTGATGTCCTTCTCATTCTACCATCTTTCCTACCCCCATCCCCATTCTCCTCCCTCCCCTTTGCCCAATTCATAGTTCCTCCATTCATTCCATGCCCCTTTCCCCCATTATGGATCAGCATCCACTTATCAAAGAGAATATTCAGCCTTTGTTTTTTTGCCAAATTCATTATTTTAATAATGAAGTTGAATGTTATTATGGAACTCAATATCCTCTAAACCCCACCCCACCCTTGGGCCAAATCCAATCTCTTCTTTCTACCTGTAGTATTCCAGGAATGTGATTTCCTTCCCATCAGACATTGTGAAGCTATCTTTTGGAGTCTTATTCCAATCTACATCATCAATACGATAGGTGCGATTGTTGTAGCGGGTGATAACGATATTGCCAACCAGAAGCTTACTGCACTCGTCTTGGAAGTTTTCCTTGCTCTGCTGATACATGGCATGCCTTTGGAAAGAGGTAAGGGACTTTCGGATCATGTTTGCACAGACAGGGTAATATGAAAGGAACAGAGGACACAAGTAAGTAATTTAGGGACCTAGTGATCTCATTATAGCTCTATGACACCAGAGGGCCCCAGTTGTGTCTTTTAAGAGAGGGACTCTTGGGGGCTGGGATGTGGCTCAAGCGGTAGCGCGCTCGCCTGGCATGCGTGCGGCCCGGGTTCGATCCTCAGCACCACATACAAACAAAGATGTTGTGTCCGCCAAATACTAAAAAATAAATATTAAAAAATTCTCTCTCTCTCTACCTCTATCTCTCTCACTCTCTCTTTAAAAAAAAAAAAAAAAAAAAAGAGAGGGACTCTTGCCTTTCTCCTTTTTAATTTTAACACACACACACACACACACCAAAAAAAAAAAAGATAATGAAAAGATAAAAATCATATTAAAAGCAACAACAAATTAAAATTCACTGTATTCTGTAACATAAGGTACTTATATCACAAAACAATTATTTTGCATTATCACTAGGATAAAGTACGCAAACAGGACAAGAAAATCATTCCTTAAGCCACACATGCCCTTTCCTAGTTGAAGAAAGAAATTATAATACAAAGTACTCATCACAAGGCAAGCACTGATACTGGCATTAAAGATCCAGAGGTAAGTCAGATACAGTGGCACACACCTATGATCCCAGCAGCTCAGGAAGCTAAGGCAGGAGGATCCCGAGTTCAGAGCCAGCCTCAGCAATTTTGCAAGGCACTAAGGAACTTAGGGAGACCCTGTCTCAAAATAGCAAGGGCTGGGGATGTGGTTAAGTGCCCCTGGGTTCAATCCCCTGTACCAAAAAAAAAAAAAAAAAAAAAAACAGTGATGAGAAGACCTGAGATAGACAAATGTCCTCTTGAGTGACCCATATAGCAGGACTATGACCAAGGCAGCACAGGAAACTCACAGATGCCACATGTAAAGGCACTTGGGGAAGTTGAGCAACATTTACAGAAGGAGCTACTGAGAGGAGAAAAGTGCCATACAAATGGCTGGGACAGAGATATCAGCAACTCTTCAGGCAGAGGAAGGGTGGCAGACAATCAGGGTTTGGGGATGGGGTGGAAGTGGGACTTTACCCTGTGGCTAGTGTCACTCATGATATATTCTTCACGAACTATAGTCTCTGAGAGGTTGATTGGGGGTGGGGGTGGTGTCCACAATCAGAAAGTTGAGGCCTCCTGCATCTTATAACGCCTTTTACAGATGCACAGCGTCCATTACCACATCAGGACATGCAGAAACACACTGAGTTTATTTTCCTCCAATTTACTGAACCACAGATTCCTCCCCAGCCTTTTAATTTTCACCTCAGAATATTTACTACTATTCTGGGTAATGAGTATTCTACAGAACCTGCCTTAAGAAAGCCTGCAGTAAATGAAAAACCTCAGAGATTTCAACACCAACTCCAGACTCGGGAGCCAACTGTACAGATTCAAAGCTGGGCTCTGCTACTTACTAGCTGTTAAGACTTTTTTTTTTTTTTTTTTTGGTACCAGGGATTGAATTCAGGGACACTTAACCACTGAGCCACAACACAAGTTGCTGAGGGCCTTGCTAAACTGCTAAGACAGTCTTCGAACTTGCAATCCTCCTGTCTCAGACTCCCAAACCACTGGGATTATAGGCATGCAGCACAACACCCAGCTTAGTTTGTGAGACTTTGAACAAGTTATTTAATCTCTTTATGCCTCAGTTTCCTCCTGTGGCATCAGTACAAGCACCTAACTCATGCTCTTGAGAGAACAAAATGACTCTATAAATATAAAACACTCAGATCTGTGCCTATCAAAATAATAAAACTGAATGTTTGCAAACATTATCGTTGCTATGAGTACCGTTAGTGCTTAATACACATCAGATACAATATGTGTGTGCTTGATGTTTTAAATGAATGGATTATTAGAAAGAGTTAACAAGGCCCACCAAAATGTATGGCCTTTTTATCTCAGTTTGAATACACAGACTGGTAAAGACAGTTCAGCATAGACATGTAATTAGGAAAGTCAGAAGCAACTACTATTATAGAGGCCACATTTAAACAATTTTCAAGTTATAATTTATTCTCATAGCCCTGTGATAATTTTCATTTTCTCTCACCAAATCCCTTTCCCCTGACTATAGAAAATGGGTGCTAAATTTGGAAGACTTTCAAGAAAATGCTAAAAACAAATTGAAGATTACAGAAAATAAGGAATATAGGCCGGTATCTTGTGATTCCAATATCAAATATTAGAGAATAAAAAAACCACTGACTTTGCACCTATCTTATTTTTCTTTTCTTTTTTTTTTTTAATATTTTATTTATTTTTTTTTTAGTTTTCGGCGGACACAACATCTTTGTTTGTATGTGGTGCTGAGGATTGAACCTGGGCGGCACGCATGCCAGGCGAGCACGCTACCGCTTGAGCCACATCCCCAGCCCCTTACTTTTAATTCTTAAAAAAAAAAAATAACTGTTTTTTTTTGGTAAAATGTTATTTGCTTAAATATTTTCATTCATTTACACACACACACACACACACGTTTTAAACTAAGATATATATCAAAACAGACATACTTGGGAGTTACTGCATAATAGGCACAGTTTCTATTTAAGATGATGAAAAGTCCTAGAGATACAGAGTGAGGATAGTGGTCCAGCATTATAAATGCACTTAATGTCACTAAGTTATCTCTACTAAAGTAGAGAAGTGCTTCTGACCTTGCACTTCTATTTTTTGTTTATTTGTTTTTGTTTTGGTGCTGGGGATTGAACCCCAGACCTTGTGCATGCCAGGCAAGAGCCCTACCATTGAGCCACACCCTCAGCCCTAAGTTATCATTTTGAAATGGTTGAAATGGTGATTTTTGTGCTAAAATAGTAAATGTTATATATACAACATAGAATTTAAAGCAATTTTAAAACACATAGTAGGGTTAGGGATGTGGCCCAGTGGTAGAACACTTGCCTAGCATGCATGAGGCTCTGGGGTTGAACCCCAGCATCCACTCCCCTGGCCAAAAAAGAAAAAAAAATCACAGCAATTTTATTTTAGTTTGTTTTTTTTAACCTCTTATGGTCCTCCCCCACCTTAATTTTTTTTTCTTTCATTCTTTTTTTTGGTACTGGAGATTGAATCTAGGGTGCTGAACCACTAAGCCACATCCTCAGCCCTTTTTATATTTTTTGAGACAGGGTCTTGCTAAGTTGCTTAGGCTTTGCTAAATTTCTGAGATTGGTCCTGAACTTGCCATCATCCTGCCTCAGCCTCCCAAATTGCTGGGATTATAGGTGTGCACTACCACCTCAACAATTTTAAAATGTTTAAAAACAGGTATCATTGGCAAAAACTAATTTTCTCAAAAATGATCAAATGACATAGTATGTGTAACTTGTTAAAAATGCTTTCTAGGTCATGCACTATGATTTATTTTTCCTGCCTACAGTTGACCTGGGCACAGTGGTGAACACCTATAATCCCAGCAACTGGGGAAGCTGAAGCAGGAGAATTACCATGTTTGAGGCCACTGCAGACAAGTTAGTGAGACCACATGTCAAAATAAAATAAAAAGAAGGGCTGGGGATGAAGCTCAGAGATTTGAATCCATTCCCCAGTACCAGAAAAAACAACAACAGAAAAAAAACATGAGGGGTTGGGATTGTGGCTCAGCAGTAGAGCGCTTGCCTGGCACATGCAAGGCTCTGGGTTCAATTCTCAGCACACATAAAAATAAAATAAAGATATTGTGTCCAACTACAACAACAAAAAAATGATATTTATTAAAGAACAGACATCTGAGTTGAAAAGAATTAATTAGAGGAACAGGTATTCAAACACACATCATACAAAGAGACAGTGAGGTGGTAAAGCTAACTACTCTCTAAAAATAATATTAGAGATTTTATTTCAGAACCTTTTATGAATTTTGGCTTCCTGTTTATACCATGTTGATCAACAGTACATATGGTTTTATGTTTATTTTTGTTCTGAAGTACTGGGGAGTGAACCCAGAGCCTCATGCATGCGAGGCAAGCATTCTACCACTAAGCTATACCCTCAAGCCCTGTATTCATTTTTTTCCCCTGGACCTAATGAACAAGGCCACTGTTCATTACGATTTTTATTTTTTCTCGTTAGAGATACATGACTATATTTAAACATATCATTTATACATGGAATATAACATTTCTAGTTAGGATTCCATTCCCCCTTTCTCTCTCTCTCTCTCTCATTTTTTTTTTTTTTTTTTTTTTTTTAGCATGCATGAAGCCCTGGGTTCAATGCTCAGCAACAACAAAAAATTCAGGAGTTCTAGCCAATGCAGTATTCAGGGGGAAATTATAGTTTTAAATTACCTAAGAATCTACCTCAGACATTTATGACAAAAGTGTCAAGGTAAATTAGTAAGGATACTCAAGTTGGAAGTACATTAAACCAGAACACAAAGTGCTAACATTTGGTCAAATTCATGAGAGCAGTCCAATCTTGTCAAAATTTGCAAAAGGTGTTTATTCAGTCCATATTCCGTGGTCAATGACAGTTGAGTTACTGATCTCACAGCCCCTTCCTATCTGAGGCTGGACTCTGAGACAGAGTTTCCAAATTCCTGGATGACCTTAGTACTTTTCTTTTTTCGGGGGAGAGGGAGTACGGGGGATTGAACTCAGGGACTCAAGGGCACTCAACCACTGAGCCACGTCCCCAGCCCTATTTTATATTTTATTTAGAGACAGGGTCTCACCAAGTTGCTTAGCACCTTGCTGATGCTGAGGCTGGCTTTGAACCCGTGATCTTCCAGAGCCTTTGGGATTACAGGCATATGCCACTATGCCTGGCTAGTGCTCTTCTTTCTTGTTCAGCATGAGTTTGCCTAAGTCAAAGTCTGGACCTCATCCTGGAAAAAGGTCTGCTTCTTATATCAAGGTACACTACAACCCTAACTCTTGCACTCTCCTTTGTACTTGTAAAAAACATTGTGACTTAAAATTACAATGACCAGAGTAAGACATATTGGCATGTACCTGTACTTAGCAATTGGGAGCTGAAACAAGAGGATCTTTTTTTTTTTAATATTTTATTTTTTAATTGTAGTTGGACACAATATCTTTATTTTATTGTGGTGCTGAGGATCAAACCCGGGGCCTCACATATGCTAGGCAGCGCTCTACCACTGAGCCACAACCCCAGCCCACAAGAGGATCTTTTTTTTTTTTTTTTTAATATATTTATTTATTTATGTATTTATTTTTTAGTTTTTGGCAGACACAACATCTTTGTTTGTATGTGGTGCTGAGGATCGAACCTGGGCCGCACGCATGCCAGGCGAGCGCGCTACCACTTGAGCCACATCCCCAGCCCCCCACAAGAGGATCTTTTGAGGCCAGGATTTTGAGACCAGTCTGGACAACATGATGAGACCTTATTGTTGTTCTAAAATTAGAGTGGTCTAAGCATACATGGGACATTCACAAGTTTTTGTTTCTTGAATTTCTTCTAGAATATCTTTTTCTTCTGTGCTAACTCCCCTTCTGCTTTAGGAACAATCTGGTATTTCTCAGTGTGGATCCCTGTGTGGCTTCGGAAGCCCATATACAGGTTAATCCTACTAAGAGCTGTTAAGTGAAGAGGCTTTGCTCAATGACCAGAGAAAGTACATCTAACCCCTTACATTCAACATTACTCTCTGTATTATGAAGCATGTGCACCAAAGATTGGCTTTGGGGGCCATCAACCCTACGTCCAGCCCCATTATGTGTCCTGGAAACACTTATAAACTCCACCATTGTAAGGATAGAATGGAACATATTGTTTTTTTACAGTGACACTGTTCAGCCAGGGCCTCTCACATGCTAGGCAAGCTTTCTACCAGGGAGCTACACCTTCAGTCCCTGTGTGATCTTTTTAAACAACTTTATTGAGATATAATTCGCACACTGTGCAATCCACTCATTTATAGGGTATGGTTTGATGTCTTGTATAAAACAGTACTGTACATTCATCACTACAGTTTTTCTTTTTTAAGGTGCTGGGTAGGGATTGAACTCAGGAATTATGCATGCTAAGTAAACACTATCACTGTACTATGTCCACATCCTTTTTTTTTTTTCAATTTTATTTTGAGACAGGGTCTTGCTATGACCCTGTAACCCATGCTGGCCTTGAATTTTCTGTTCTCCAACCTCGACCTCCTGAATAGTTGGGATTACAGGTAGACCACACCTGGCTCACTACCATCAGTTTCAGAACATTTCCTTCACCCCACAAAGAATCCCCACAGTCCTTAGCTTTTACTTCCCATTCCTCCATCATCCCTCAGACCTAGGCAATACGAATTTATTGTCTGTCTATCCCACTGGCTCCAAACATTTCATATGAATGGAATCCATGTGAAATGGCTTCTTTTTAAATTTTTTTTTAGTTGTCGTTGGACACAATACCTTTATTTTATTTATTTTTATGTGGTGTTAGGGAGCAAACCCAGCGCTTCATATGTGCCCTGGGTTTGATCCCTAGCACTGCAAATAAATCAATCAATAAAATCACACACTTTTGTCCATATATTTATATATTATTTTATTTACATATATGTGTATTTGTAGACTTATTATCTTACAGTTTCTGTGGGTCAGGAATTTGAATTTGGTCAGCTGAGTGCCTTGGTTCAGGGGCTCCTGAAGTGTGGCAAGATTTCAAGTCTCAAGGCTTAAATGGAGTAGGATATGCTTCCAAGCTCACTTGGGCCACTCCACAGAACTGCCCATAGCATAGTAGCTGACTGCCCCGAGGGCGAGTGTCCATGAGACAGAGTGAGCACCCAAGCAGAAAACAAACTCTCTATAATCTATTCTCAGAAGTGACATCCCCTCAGTCAGGAACGGTGGTGCACACTTGTAATCCCAGCTGCTTGAAAGGCTGAGACAGGAGGATCATAAATTCGTGGCTGCCTTTAGCAGTTCAGCAAGATCCTGCCTCAAGGGGCTGGGGATGTGGCTCAAGGGGTAGCGCGCTTGCCTGGCATGCGTGCGGCCCGGGTTCGATCCTCAGCACCACATAAAACAAAGATGTTGTGTCCGCCGAAAAATAAATAAAGAAAGAAAAAACAAAAATAAAAATAAAGATGTTGTGTCCATCGAAAATTGAAAAATAAATATTTTTTTTAAAAAGATTCTGCCTCAAAATAAAATAAAAAGGGTTGGGGATGTAGTTCAGTGCTTGCCTAGCATGTGTGAGGATTTGGATTCAACCCCTGGTCTTAGGGGGGAAAAAAGGTGACATCACCTCATTCTTACCATATTGTACACATTAGAGCCATGTCAATAAGTACAGTGCTTGTTTAACGGAAGAGGCCAGGGCCAGGCAGCACAAACACTGGGAAACAACCAAGATCTTTTACCAAACTCTACCTCATGTTCTTTTGAATTCTCTCTGCAACCAGGCTCTAACTTTTGGGCTTCCATTTTCATTACTGCATTGTTCAGAACTACATTGTTTTAGCAAGAATTCTACTACATTGGATTAGCCAGAATCCCCACCCTTCCTATCTGATCACTGTGTTATCTGACCCCCGCCAGGGCCAGCCTGCAGTAAGAATCCTATTAGGTTTATTGAGCCAGAATCTCCCAAACCCCTGATGTTTTCCATCCACTGACACTCACACTACTCCTTGGCTATAAATTCCCACTTTTCCTTGTTGTATTTGGAGTTGAATCCAATCTTTCTCCTGTACTGAAAAACCCTTCTGCCACAAGGTTCCTGCACAAAATCGGCCTTAACTTTTTTTGTGTGTGTGTGTGTGGGGGGGGGGTGTGTTCCTAGGAGTGGAATCCGGGAGCACTCTACACTGAGCTACAGGTCACCCACCTCTTGCCTTTTTTAAAATTTTGAGACAGGGTCTTACTAAATTGCGGAGGCTTGCCTTAAGCTTGAATACTTGCAATCCTCCTGCCTCAGCCTCCCAAGTCGCTGGGATCACAGGCAAGTACCACCATGCCTGGCTGCTTTGACATTCTTCAACAAGTATCATGATTTTTTCTTTTTCTTTTTTTTTTTTTTTTAAGAGAGAGAGAGAGAGAGAGAGAATTTTTTAATATTTATTTTTTAGTTTTCAGCGGACACAACATCTTTGTTTGTATGTGGTGCTGAGGATCAAACCCAGGCCGCAGGCATGCCAGGCGAGCGCGCTACCGCTTGAGCCACATCCCCAGCCCATGATTTTTTCTTTACAGAAACCACAATTAGATATGTTACAGTAAAACTTCTGAAAACCAAAGATGGTAATAAGCAATTTAAAAGACAGCAGCAACACTGGTAATTATTTGTCAACAGAAACAACGTAAACCAGAAGATAATGAAATATCTTCAAAGTGTTGAAAAAAAATCTGCCAAATCCAGAATTCTAATTTAAAGACAAAATAAAAAACATTTTTAGATAAAATTTGAGAGAATTTGTCATCGGCAGATTCCACACTAAATGACATTCAACAGGGAGTTTCTTCAGACAAAAAGAAACTCATTCCAGATACAATCCTAACATGGACAGAAAGGAATACAGAATACAAAAAACCTTTAAGGAGACTGAGGTAAAGAAAACTTCTTTTTGTTTTGAAGTAAAGAAAACTTCTTTTTGTTTTGAAAGGGCCAGGAGGCCTGAGGGGAGACATACAAAGACTCTGGAATCAGAAATCAAAATGACTCTAGATCTTTTAACAGCAAATCTTAAAGTGAAAACATGGGAAAGCGATGCCTTCACAATTCTAAAGGAAAAGAACTTCCAACCTAGAACTTTACACCGGATCTCCCTAAGGTGATCCAAAGACATTCACACACATGTAAGGTCTCAAAATCATTTCCTCCTATGCACTCTTCTTCAGGAAAATACTAAAGGTTATGCTGTACACTGAGGCAAGGGACAACGATGGAAGCAGGAGGAATGGAACTTGAGGGGGAAGAGGGAGTTCCAAGACAGGGGTGCCTAGCCAGCTGGAGAGCAACCAGTCAAACTGTAGCCCATCAGGATCTGCCAGACATTCTAAGATGGTACTGAGTTCTGGGAGGACGGGCCATTAAATGAATTACTGAGAACTTAATAACAACATATGAACTTCAACCTCATTTGTTAAATTTTAGTTGACTCAGGATGGTACACAAACCATGCTGAGGTGTTGAAAGGAAAAGCTACCATGTTTCTAAAGACCCGGCCCTTCTGACCTCCAGAAAATAACTGGCCTTTTTTGGTTTCCAGGAGTCCATAAGAACACAAAGGCTCAGAGGACAAAGGTAGCCATACCAGTTGCAGGGGGTCCCAAGAACCACAGTCATGCTCTGGGGTGGAGTGCCTGGACACTGCAGTCACAGTAAGAACCACGACCACATATACCCCATATCCCATGATATAATGGGGTGATACCTGACACAGGATTTCTGATAATCTCAGAGAACAGGGGCTCAAATCTAGATCTAATTTGATTTAGACCACCCAAGAAATATGATTCCTCAAAGCACAGTAGATGTCTGTTCAGATGCCCATCTTGGTAGGACTGAGGGACAAGAACATATCCATTCAGTTCTCTTAATCCATTCTACAATTAAAATTGCAAATGGAACAGTGGCGAATCTATATTATGACGGCTATTACTGAACCTTTCAGAAAATCATCAGCATGTTAAAGGATGATCCCATCATTTACTCACATGACATCCAGCACAGAATCGTTTCGAATGACCTTGTGGGAGACATCAGCTAGCAGGAAGAGACCTCCATCTGTCCTGCGGATGCTGGCTGCATAGCCAGGCCAGATCTGCAATCTGGAGAAAGAGGTGGCCTTTACCCTAAAGTCCCAAAGGAAAACTGCCATTTCCATACCCACAAGTGAAATAATATTTTGAGCTGATATTGCCCTTTCCTGATAACAATGAGGAAGCCCCAGGAAACAAACTAAATTAAATTGACATTACTGAAAGTTTACTAAAAATCCAAGCTAAAAAAAAAAAATGTTTAACTAATTGTATTCACTACCATAAAATTGTTGAATTTTTGTCCTTAGTATGATAGTCACAATGAAAATTTCCTTTCCAGTACATTCAAAAGTAAAAAATAAGGTGGAAAACCACCAACCTGTGTTGCTGCAATACCATAGCACTTGTAGGGTCATAGAAGTTTCTTCCCACGAGCTTCATATCTAAAAGTTTCATTACCCTGAAATAAAGAGCAGGAATGAGCTTTCTCTATATATACATTTTTTTCTTTTTTTGCAGTGCTAGGGATGACCCAGAGCCTTACACCTACTAGGCAAGTACTCTAACACTGAGCTACATTCCCCAGACCTACAATGGGTTTCCTAATAGAAAAATAACAAAATTAAGCTCCATTTCTCTTAGCTATGATTTCTTTTTGAAACCTAAAGGTTCAGAAATGTTTTTATTCTTTGTACAATCCAAATTTTCTGTTAAGACCAGTCTTGCTAAAAGAAAAATAAAGATTATCAAAGCATTTATCTTGGAGTATGTGCAAGTGACCGCAGTCTTTCCTCCTTACTAGCTAGCCAAATACTGAGTTATCCGCCAGGCTCAATTTACATTACTTGTCACCATTAGCTAAAGAGAATACCAATTTCTAAGTGTGTGAATAACAAATATGGCAAACAGAATTAGGTCTATATAAGTTCTATTTCATTAAATAAGAGGCAGTTTGGGAATAAAAGCTATTAAGAAAATTAGGGAATCTCAAAAGAAATTAAACAATTATGAGCTGTCTGTAATCCTGAAATTCAGGAACTGGAAAAATTTTCTCAACAAATATTTCCAATTATCCCCAAACCCAATTTAATTTACCCAAACTTGGCCTATCACTTGTGAGATAATCGTTAAGTTAGCATCAAGATAATCCATTTACTTATTAAATGCTCAGCAATCTTTTTTGGATTATTATATATTGTAAAGAACAAATTTATTTATTAAACATTTAATAACTTAATTATTTATTTAAACCATCTATACACATACACATTGCATATAATGTTATAAGCTTCTTGAAGAGCACTACTGCAAATACAATTTATATAAATTAAAGCAAAGTAAGACTGCAGCTATTTTCTCACCGTCTGAAAACAACATTGTAGAAGGGAATGCACAAATCAGAACAGGGCTCCAGGATCTTTGTCAATTGAATCTTAATGCTGATCTCGGCATCATCAGTTTTCCTTTGACTTTTTAACTCAAGAACCTAACAAATAAATATATACACAAGTAAAAAGAAATGACAAAATTACCAAGGCCTAATCTAATCCAATAATACCAAAAATCGCAAAATGTTTCCCCCCTCACTTTGATGCTTACAAAAGCAAAGTCACAGCATGACAACCAGGATTTATGAAATTATTTGGTAATATAAACCCAATAAAGTTTGAAGTTGAAATTTTAAGTCATTCTTTATCACTGAGATCAAAGATCTCTTATGTGAGAAGGTACTTCTTATAGAACTCAAACTGAAGAATTTTTATTTTGTTCTGCAGACATCTGCCTTCCATCTAAAAATAAAAAGGTTCAACTCTATGGTTTCCCACCACTCAAAACACCAGACACTCTTAGGTTTCACCCAAAGTACACGTCCTCTTTGGTCTCACTTGCTGAAGCTTAATAGGCAGATAGAGAATAGATCCATCAAAAGCAGTGACATTTCCAGTGACAGCTTGATGGTCTTTCAACATGCCAAACCTCATGCTTTTACACTCCACGTTGGGGCTGGAAAATAATAAAAAGGATTTCACTTCAATTTGGCTTATATAACAATATTTACTACAGCTGTGAAATAGGTAAAGGGGTTATCAGAGAAGCAGCGTTTGTAAGTGCTCCATCTAGTGGTCATGTTAAAAAATACGTAGATGTCTAATAAAACTACAATGGACTCAGGGACACCTGCTCATCACAGAAACATTGGGAAATATAGGAAAAGAAAATAAAAACAGGGCTGGGGCTGTAGCTCAGTGGCAGAGTGCTTGCTTAGCATGTGTGAGGCACTGGGTTTGATCCTCAGCACCACATAAAAATAAACAAATAAAACAAAGGCATTCTGTCCATCTACAATTACAAAAATAAAAAATAAAAATAAAAACAATCCATAATTCTAACCCCAAGGACATTTATCTTAACATGTCAGTGTGTATAGCCAGGGGACTTTAGATCATGGGATCAAAAACCTTTATAAGGGGCAAATTAGAAATATTTTAGGTTTTGTGGGGCAGATAGTCTTGCAACTCTACCATAAGACTCTGCCATAAACATATGTAAACTACTGTGTAACTACGTGCCAACAGAACTTCATTACAAAAACAGGCTATGGGCCACGTTTGACCTTTGGACCAACTGTGGTTTACTAATTCCAGCTCTAGAATCCTCAGAGAAATATACTTTCTAAAAAGGTGCTTTTTAAAAAACAGGATTTTACTCTGGCTATTTTTCACTTAGGGCTATTTCAATATTTTATTAATTTTCATTGTTACAAATATTAAACTTCAAAACGTATCAGCAGCTACTCTGTACAACGATTGTCCCATTATATTACAGTAATATACAACCCTACTTTACAATTCCAAAGTTTGAACAAACAAACACAAGGTTAAAAAGGTCAAGGGTGTTCAAGTACATGAAAAAAGACTTTTAAAAAATCAAGTGGTAATCCAACATAGTTGTCCCTAAAATTAAACACTCCCATGCTAACATCACATTTCTTTGAAAAAAATTTTAAATACAGGTTGAATATAACTTTTTCTGAAAGGTTTGGGACCAAAAGTGTTTTGGATTGTGGAATATTTGCCCCAGTCTTAAAATGAAATTCATTTATGTTTGATATATACCATGCACATAGCATGAAGGTCATTTTACATAGTATTTTAAATAACTTCGGGCACTAAATAAAATGTCATGGTGTGGAATTTTCCACTGATGTTATGTCAGTGCTCAAAAGGTTTCAGATTCTGGAGCACTTCAGACCTGCATACACAGAGCTACCCTCTGAACACAATATTTAAGTTTCTCTTCCTAGATCCCCTTCATATACAATGGGGAAGCTGCAGGATGCCCACTTCACTGAATCTGCTCAGTATTCTCTCACTGACCTAGAAGCACCTTCACATTGCAGCTTCACAGGTCCATATCTACAATCACAAACCCTATATTCCATGTCTTCTCCATGGCCCATTCAATGCTGAGTGACCTCAGATCTACGGGAACTCAAAGGACCATTTCTGTTTCCTTAAGGTTTATCAAGTCATTCTCAGAGAAAGTCTCTACCCTCTCTGCAACACTGGTATCCTCCCCTTCCTTTCCCAGCAGGCCTGCTCCCTTTCCTGGCTCCTTCCCTGTTCCTGCTGGGCTTTCCTACCTCTCTTGAAGCCACCCTGCTGCCCATTGGAACTATTCCTTTCTCATTCTTATTACAAGCTTTTAAAGTGAGTGCTGATTCACTATTTCTCATGGCCTATGCTCTCCCTGGTTCTTTAAATCTTTTAGATATTTTCCTCTATAATTCAAACAGAGGAATTAGGAAATAACCAAGAACCCCCTTGTAAGTAAATCCAGCAACATTTTTTCCTGTGGCCAAAGTCAATCCGTTCCTCCTCATTCAAATTAAGTCTTCGTAACTATTTCTTTTCTTTGGTCTTCATAACTGTTTCTTTTCTCTTCAATTCTTCCACTTCTACTATCAATTAGAAGCTGCCCTTCAAAAATTTAGACTCCCTAGTATAGCCACTTTGTGAAAAGGTAGGGGGGTTCCTCAAAAAACAAAAACAGAATTCCTATTTGATCTAGCAATCCCACTTATGAATATATATCCAAAGGAACTAAAACCAGTACAAATCACTCCTGTGTTTGTTTCATCATTATTCACAATAGCCAAGACACATCTATTTGTGCTTGAATGAATAAAGAAAATGTGCTGTGTATTACACACATACACTCACACACACACACAAATACTATATTATACTGTCTTTATAAAAGAAGAAATTCCATCATTGTGGCAACATGGATGAACCTACAAGACATTATGCCAAGTGAAATAAGCCAGGCACAGAAAGACAAACTCTCCACAATCTCACTTATACGTGGAACTTAAAAAGTCAAAGTCAAACTCAAACAGTGAGTGGAATAGTGGAAGGCAGTGGGGGAGAGGGAGAGGAGAAATGTTGGTCAAGGGCACAAAGCTCCAGTGAAATGAGAGGATAGTTTTAATGATCTACTGCACAGCAGTAGTTAATAATCACGTGTTATATATTTCAAAATTGCCAAGAGACCTTAAATGCTCCCATCACAAAACAAGTAGGTGATGTGATAGGTATATGAGCTTGATTTAATCTCATCAAAACACCATATTATATCTGACAAACAGTAACTGTCAATTTTTTAAAAATTAGACTTCTGTCTTCTCATTTTTTCCCACAGGAATTTCAAAGCAGTCATTCACTTTCACAATTCCTGCTAACAATTTCTAGTTAACAACTCCCCTAAGATCTTACAAGAAGAACACAAACTAATATAAATCTTATTTTTTTTTAAAGAGAGAGGTTTTTTTTTTTTATATTTATTTTTCAGTTTTTGGCGGACATAACATCTTTGTTTGTATGTGGTGCTGAGGATCGAACCTGGGCCGCACGCATGCCAGGCGAGCGTGCTACCGCTTGAGCCACATCCCCAGCCCATAAATCTTATTTTTTAAAAAAGGATGATAAATCCTAAAGTTACTGACACATAATTGAAGTTCTTTTCCTTTATTTCCTCACCCTCAAATTTAATCAAATGTCGACTATGACAACACAGGCAGAGGAGGACCCAGGTTTTGTGGGATACAGAGTGCATTTAAGACAAGGAGTACCAAATTAATCAAAATAACTTGGAAGGGCCACATGCAAGTAAAAGGCCCTTAAGCTTTAAGTAACTTAAGCTTTATTCATTTCACATTAAATCCAATTCTAGCTTCATACAGAAACCTGTATTTCTTCAGTTAAAATCTGAATTGGTAAAATGGTTTAAAAACATAAAACACAAAAATATTAACCTTAAAATTTCCTGCCAGGATCTGACTACAGACATCACTGCACGGGGAGGACCATCAAGAATCATCATAGTACTGTTACATCATGTGCATGTGTGAATGTAGAACAGTGAATCCCAAAATCATGTACAATTATACCACACCAATAAAAATATGAAAAAAAGAATTATAAAGAAAAACATTCAGTTATTCCAGGGAAACCACATCATTCCTGCCCTCTAGGAAGTGAGTGACAGAGAGAATAAATGCTGTAAATACCTGAAAGTCACATGATATTGATAAACTGCTTCATTATGACACTGTATTTTGATGAGGTTCAGTCCCAAAGATTGAGGTGTTCCTTTTGATCCTTGCTTCACAAAAAGCTCTCTGGGGGAAGGAAAAAAAAAAAAAAGGAATGCAGCCAGAGCATGTAGTTCTTGTTACTCAGGGTCTGAGGCAGGTGACTTGCTTTCACTCAGAAGTTTGAGATGAGACTAGAGCAACATGAAAAAAAACAGTAGCCACATATATACCAACGAACAAACAACCCACACCAACAACAAAAAGGTTGTGGAAGTAATTTTTTTCACCCTTCACTTAACATAAGCCAAGAACCAAGATGTATAAATGCAAGCTTTGAAGACTTGAAATCCTTAGCAGCATCTAGTTAGATAGGCAGGGCCACGCTACCTGTCCCAACCATAGTACTGGAACGAATGAGGCCAGCTAGCCAAGAACAAAGACCTGGTTCTGTAGAAGGTTAGGCAGTGCTGGAATATTTCTCCTAAGTTATTTCCTTGTCTTAACATAAAAAAAGACCTTGGAAATGGTAGGAAAATGACAGGCCATGAGTCCCCTCTCTGGTACATACCACTATATATATTCACTGTGAAACCCACTGCACTTCCTCAGGAATTGTCCCACCTCTTTGTCAATCTCCCTAATGGCAAAAAAATAAAAAATAAAACACACTGTCTCCAAAGGAGGGCTTTGAACAGAACAGAATGGTGTTCCAGCCCAAAGGCAAAGATCAGAAGGCACCCCTCAGAAAGCCCTCTGCCACCAAGGCAGTGCTCTGGACTTACTTTTCCTTGTGTTCAATGGTCAGGACAGGAGGGCAGTCTGAAGAATGCAATGAGGACTGGGGCAAAGGTGGGGGTGGTGACAGCCGTGGGGGATCTCGAGTGGCCAGGCTAAACACACTGGGAGACTTGTCGACTCCTCTGCCTATACCACCAGCTGCTCTTCCCAATGGTAATAAAGAGGAATCCAAACTCCCTCTTCCAAGCACTCTGAAATGGTGAAAAGGGAGGCAAATTAGAACTTTCCTAGTCATGTTTATATCTGCGCTTCATCTAGATCACTCTGTGAGTCTACATTCTCTTCCCAGAGGAGTCAGCCAAAGAGGCCCAGGCACAGCCTCAGCTTCCCTCAACATCGTGATGTCATGATTTGCTCACCAACAGCCATCTTCCAGAGCAGGAGAGAGCATGCGATTCACCCAGATAAAGGAACCTCTCCAACCAAGGCGCTTCTTGAGAGGTAAATGAAGCTGTGGACAACCCAGGGAGAACCACTTTTCATCATTGCCAGTGACTTCCTGGATTAGCAGCAGCTCCCTGATCCCAGAAAATGTCCATCTTGGCAACATTGATAACATGCCCCCTCCCAGTGCTTTTCTTTCACCCTGAACCTGATGGTTGCATGATAAGTGACTTTACCCACCGATTCCAACCAACGGAGGCCTCTGCCAGCTTGCTATCCCCAGCAGCCAGCACCAAAGGGTCAGGAAATGTGGGACGAGTTTCTTCTTTGTCCTTGCGTGCCATTTTAGCAGACAAGCCTCGACCCAAAATGCCTCTGCCTGAGTAGAAGAACCAAACTCAGCTGTGACTGTGAGTGAGTATGTTTCAAAGCACAGTTATTTTTCTTAGGATAAACTGTACAGATTTAGGCATCAAGCAATCATACATACAACCGAAGTTTCTCAAGTTAGTTTTTCACTTACCTAAAGGAGGCACTTCCTGTTTCAGAGGGGTCCGGGACATTGTCTCAAGGCCCATGCCTCGGAACATGGACACCAAACCCACAGACTCCTGGGAAAAGTTGATGAGTAAGTTATTTTAAGATGAAGTCTAAAACCCTAGAAACAATGGCTTTCTTGAAGCCTTAGTAAATAATAAAAATCAGCTTCTTCAAATTCTATAATGTTTTAAGACTAAGGGACAAAAATATTTTATAAAACTGGGCATGATGGTGCACACCTAAAGTCCCAGCAGCTCAGGAGGCTGAGACAGGAGGATCACAAGTTCAAAGCCAGCCTCAGCAAAAGTGAGACATTAAACAACCCAGTGAGGCCCTGTCTCTAAGTAAAATACTAAATAGGGCTAGAGATGTTGCTTAGTGGTCATGTGCCCCTGAGTTCAATCCCTGATACAAAAAAAAAAAAATTATAAAAATTTTTTCAGGCCAGTTATGGTGGCACATACCTGTAATCCCAGCAGCTCAGGAGGCTGAGGCAGGAGGATTGAGAGTTCAAAGCCAGCCTCAGCAAATTAGCAAGGCCCTAAGCAATTCAGTGAGACCTTGTCTCTAAATAAGATACAAAAAGGACTGGGGATGTGGCTCAGTGGTTAAGTGCCCCTGATACTGAAAAAAAAAAAAAAAAAATTCAGGCTGGGGGTATACTCAGTGGTAGAGTGCCTGCCTAACACGTCCATGGTTCCATCCCCAGGACAAAAAAGACAAAAATGTTTTCAATACTAATAATCACAGCACATTAGAGTTTCAAGCATAAATTGTTAGTTAGAAGTTCACAATCTGACGGGGTGCTGTGGTACTTTCTGTAATCTCAGCTACCTGAGGGGCTGAGGCAGAAGAATCATAAATTACCAGCTTGGGCAACTTAGCAAGACCCTGTTTCAAATAAAAGAGAAAAGGACTGGGGATGTAGCTCAGTGAAAGAGTAACCCTGGGTTCAATCTCCAGTACTGGGGACAGAGGTAATTCCATGATTTTGATCTAAAGTAGAATAAAATGCAAAAGAAAAGAATTACCTTTTCCATTTTTCTAGTTTATTCTTTGTTTACCCAAGATAAGTGGGAATATGGGCTAATAAATTTTCAGAAAGAACAGATCACTTATGGGTATTAGAAATTTTCTTAATATTCTCCAACAAAACTGCTAGTATTTTCCTGTAGCAGTCTGAAAAGTTCACAGATTAGAGCTGTGACATGACTAAAAGCCACCCACAGACTCGAGCAATTCATCTGAATAAACACACAAGATTATTGTTGTTCACTTTTCTTCTAACAGAATATTAAACTGACACTGACAACTCTAAAAATTATCATAACTGCATTATTAAGTTCTTCCTGTACATGCTCTTTAGCTTTGACATATATTAATTATAGACAAATACTGTTCTTAAAATTACTCTATAATTAACAGATTAAGGATGCACACACCCATTCACACTGCAGTAGCAATAGTTGAAGATCCTCTCTTTCTTTAAGATTTGGACAAAGAACTTTTTAAAAGGAAAAATCTAACAACTGTTATCTCAGATGCAAGAGTTGCTGTCAATATCATAGAGCCCAACCAGGGTGAAAAATCTGAACACTCAGAAAGAAGTAACAGGGTGTGTATGTGTATGTTTGTGTGTGTGTGTGTGTGTGTGGTTTTATTTATTTTCCCCTGCCCCCCAGTACTGGGGATTGAACCCATGACAGGCAAGTAGTCTACCACTGGGCTACATTCATGACCCCTTTTGAGAAAGGGTCTTAAGTCACCCAGGCTGGCCTCAAACTTGCGAGCCTCCTGACTCAGCTTTCCAAACAGCTAGGGTTACAGCTATACTTGTTCAGCAACAAGTTGTACTTTTAAGCCTCCCAATTGTGGATGGATGAATGGATGGATAGATAGACTAAAGCTAGAGGACTGATCAAAGGCCCTTACCCAAGCCCATCCAATGTTTATTATGAGGTACTTTATAGACTCGTAACTCTTAAGATTTGAATTTTATACCCAGAAGATGCAACTATTTGTTGAAAACAAACAACCTCTTCATTTTGGTATGGACTTCCAAGTTCCAATGAACCCTGAAATCCACTCCTTCTCTGTTCACACAGCTAAGCTGTATGCCAATCCTGTGCAACCAGATGTAGTCTTACCTTTTGTGCTGACCGGCTCTGTGAGCTGGGTACCTCTGGCTTTCCAAACATATGGCCTCTGCCTGCAGGCCCTGCCCTACCCAGAGATGAGTCCAAAGGTCGAGGAGTTTGTGGCCAACGGCCTGGCATCCGTAGGCCCCTGAATGGTGGTCGGACCGGATCCATTGCAAGTCTGCAGTGGACTCAGATGTTGAACCTGTTCTGGATAATTTCCTGTCAGCATTGGAAAAAAGATTAAATTCCCAATTGTTTTCCTTTTCCTTAGAGAAAGACTCACAAAGCATTACCAAATATACATATATATTTACTTTAAGTTGATGTGACCAGGCTTTTATAACGTATTCACTTGGAAAGCTTCTATATGAGCCTGGAAAATTCTAAACACCTTCCATTAACAATCCTTTAAAAGCCCAATCTCTTCTCAAACTTATATTTTCTATCCAAACAGCCTCAGATAATTCAGTTCTCTAAGTTAACCACCTGTTGTAGAAGGATCTACATTTTATATGTGGGGATGATTCTGGTTTATAAACTTAACATGGCCATATCATAAAATTATTCTAATAAATATCTATAGGATTTTGCCCTCCTTTACCAAATTTTTATTTTTTCCAGTCTGTAATTGCATTAAGCTCATCTCCATGATTTCTTTGGTCAACTCTATGAATCTTTATCCAATTCCTTTCTACAAAATGTTTCTTTCAAACTCCACTAGAACGAGGTCTCCAGGGTACAGGGCCTTTTTACTCTGAACCTACAATATGGGCTGGATCTCACAATTCCATTTAACACTCTTCCCATTCCCCAAAATCTCAGGTCCACCAGGCCTCTTCAAAATCACTTTGTATTCTACAAATTTCGGGACTCCCTCTCTGTAACAGCTCCTCTTACTGTCCCAACCTGCCTCTAATCCCTGAAATTGTTGTTTTGTTGTTGTTGTTGTGGTTTGCTTTTGCAGGGCAGAGGACAGAATCCAGGGCTTTGTGCATGCTTAACACACACTCTACTACTGAGCTACATCCCCAGGCCCAAGAATCTTTCTTAACTGAAAATTAAGTAAGCCTCTTCTTAATTTTTGAAAATCTCTCCATGACAGATCACCCCATGCATATGAAGAAAAGACAGTAAGGGTGGAGGTAGTCAAGGATTTGCAAAAAGTTTTTAATCTTAAACAGTTATGCCTTCATTCTCAGATTACAATGGCTCTCTCCTTTTGTTGCCAAAACCCTGGATTCCTTGCCCACATTTCCCCAACCCCAACTAAAAATCCAGAACAATCAGTTGCCTAACTGGCACAAAGTGAGAGGTGCTATAACACCCACCAATCACAGAATCCTCTTTCTCCACCCTTCCCTGAACCGCACCAGCATTTCCATTGACTTGGGGCACTCCTTTATAGTCCATTTCCTCATTTCATTGGTTAGCTCTCTGCTGACTGAAAGGTTCAACAGGGAAGGGAGCCAGGCCAGACCAGCTTTCCCTGCCTCTTCAAGCACTGCTCTGAGCTGGGGCACTAGGCCTGGGCCTAACCCCAAGCCAGGATCCTAAAGGCAAATCCCCCGCCCCCTTTTTCCACCTAGGGAAAATGACCTTGTGTTCAAACCAACAGCTCTTGTGTGGGTCTGGTTACCCCCCAAACCTTGCGAGGGTCCTCCCTCCTCCCTCCGGACACCTTTCTGTACTTTCCCTGTGCTCCGCTCCTCCCACCCACCCACTCGGCCTCAAATAACGACTTCCCGCCCCCGCCCCACCCAGAGCCCCAGGGCACCTCGCGTCTCCTGGGGGGTCGGGAGTGGGTGGGATGGCCCCACCCACCACCATATGCTAGAGCAAAAGCCCACCCAGCCCTTACCTGCAGCTTGGCCCCCTTGGCCTTCCACACCTGACTCCTGTCCTCTCACCTGGGCTTAAGTCCTCCCCAGGCCCTATGGCACCTTGAAGAACATCGCACTCAAACCCATCCGCCACGCGGAAGGATCCACGTGCTCCCCACACAGTTTTCCGATGAAGCTCAAAACCAGGGCTTAGCCCATTGGCCAAATCACATGCCACTCACACTATCCAGCCATCTCATTGGTTCGTCTGAAAAAGAGGCAGTTCATTTGGACCAGCTTCGCTTTGCAAGGAGGTTCATCCGAAAGGATTGTTAGAAATTAAGAGGCTGCCTAAGCATTTAAATGTTTTTGAGGTCCTGACTCCCTTTCCTTGGGCAACTCTTGCGCACAGATTTAGCTTACGTGCTCTTTTGGAAATTGACTTGCCCCATTTCTCCCAATTAGAAGATATAGTGATAAACACACACACACACACACACACACACACACACACACACACACCAGTGATCTTGGGACTGGCTTCGTTGTGGAGTGCTTGCCTAGCTTGCACAGGCCCCCCGTTCAATCTGTAGGCATCAATAGGATTGTATGGAAAGGTACAAACGATAATGTATGTAAAATACTTAGTAAAAGGAGATGCCCGCCCCGCCCCATGCTGTCTATTATTATTGGTACCTTCTTCAAACTAGAAAATTATTAGAGGCTTATTCTGCAATAAAAGCATATTTTCACCCAAAGAAATATATCTTACCCTTCTTCCAAACATTTTGGCAAGTAATTTTGCCCCATATCAACCCATAGATTATAGGAAGTGATTGGGGCCCTTTCTGGAAGATTTGGCAGATGCTATGGAGACCTCCAGATAGCTCTGCATGGAACTGAACTAGAGGAGGATTGTTGACCTTACCCTTTAAGGCCTCAAATATTTCATGCCTTGTTTTTTTTTTTTTTTAATATTTATTTTCTTTAGTTTTCGGCGGACACAACATCTTTGTTAGTATGTGGTGCTGCGGATCAAACCCGGGCCGCAGGCATGCCAGGCGAGGGCACTACCGCTTGAGCCACATCCCCAGCCCCTCATGCCTTGTTTTAATCCATATATTCAAGGATCCTCCTTTCCATCTTGAATGAGAATAGAGTCTGAAAACTATTTGGAGTAGGAAGGTAGGAATGAAATTGGTAGGATGTCCGCTCACTGTTTGTACAAGTTAACATTGTAACTACCCCTTAACCTGCCTAACTTAGATGTTACATTGTTATGTTATAGATAGGAATCTGTTGCTTATGCAAACATTCAGTAACAAGTGCAATAAAAATCAGTTACATAAACTATTCTGTAACTTGATGAAGTCCCAGCTCCCAGTCCTTTTTGGAATTCTCTCAGTCCTTTTCGGAATCTACACCTGCATGAAAGATAAATTCATCATACATGAAACAGTATTTTAGGGACTGGATTCAGCAAGTGATATAAGGCAACAGTAATTGAAAAGCACATCTGTTTTGTAATCTAAACCAAGATCAACATTAAAAAAGGGTACATATTGGGTTCCTTAGATTGCTACACAACATTCATTCAAGAGAAGGTGGCCTCTGTACAGTATTTGTAGCCAGTTCATATCATGAATACTACTTATTTCACTAAATAAAAATCCATATCACCTTGGTGTTGATTAGAATTTTCTTTTTCTTTTTTCTTTTTTCTTTTTTTTTTTTTTTTTGAGTAACAGGATTGAACACTCTACCACTGAGCCACATATGCAGCCCTATTTTGTATTTCATTTAGAGACAGGGTCTCACTGAATTGCTTAGCGCCTCACTTTTGCTGAAACTGGCTTTGAACTTGTGATCCTCCTGCCTCAGCCTCCAGAGCCACTGGGATTGCAGGCATGCACCACCTTTCCTAGCTTTGGTATCAGTTGGAGATAAAAATGATGAAAATGCCCAGTGGCGCTGGAGGCTAAGGTAGAAAGATCATAAGTTCAAAGCCAGTTTCAGCAAAAGTGAGGAACTAAGCAACTCAGTGAGACCCTATCTCTAAATAAAATACAAATTAGGGCTGGGGATGTCAAGTGCCCCTGAGTTCAGTCCCCAATACACACCCCCCAACGACAATGGTCAAAATGGGGTAGGAGTTCAGCTCAGGTGGAGAGCACAAATATGCCATGGCCATGGCTCCAGGTTCCATCTCCAGGAATGGGGAGTGGGGGTGGGGGATGGGTGAAGCTCTCCCTGAAATATGGGCATTTGTTTAGAATCTTTCAAAAGCTAATCAACTGTGCAGAACAGGCTGTGAGCAGGCCATGTCCTGCTCTGAGTCATTTCATAATGTATAGAAATGCAGATTTCAGGCTGTGCCTGGTTCCTGAGCTACTCCATTTTGAGAACAAGTGCTAAGGCAGAATGACTTGGTAACTTGTCTGGGAAACTAAATAACCACCAGATGGGACTTGGAAAAGAATAATGCTCACATTTCTGCTCTGCCTGCCCCTAGACACAGAGCCGTCCATTAGTATGCCCTCCCTCTTCCCCTCCATAGGGTGCAGGGACCACCATGGCATATAGATAGCAGTGCCTGTAGCAGGTGGGCTTTTGCAGTAACTTAAGCCACAGAGCTTTTCATGGCATCCAGCAGCAGCCCCGCTGTAACCCACAAAGTCATCTTGGAATTAAGTATATTCACTGAGGAGGCAAAATCCTCCATGTGACCAAGGTGAACTTCCTTAACAGTGAGGTGTTGGCAGGACACTTGATGTCACCCTTCAAGGTTTGGGGTCTGAAGAAAGCCTGGGTCTCACTATGGAAAGCAGTATAGAGAGTCCTCACAAAACTTGGAACAGAACCACCATGTGACCCAGTTACCCCACTCCTTGGTGTATATCCAGATGACTTAAAATTAGCCTACTGTAGCTGCATCAATGTTTATAGCAGTTCAATTCACAATAGCTAAGCTATGAAACCAATCTGGGTGCCCTTCAACAGATGAATGGATAAAGAAAATGTGGTGCATATACACAATGGAATATTAGTCATAAAGAAGAATGAAATTATGGTATTTGTCGGTAAATGGATGGAACTAGAAAATACCATGCTAAATGTAATAAGCCAATCCCCAAAACCCAAAGGCAGAATGTTTTCTCTGATATGTGGATGTTAACACACAATAAGGAGGGGTGGGTAGGGAAGAATAGAAGTAGTTTGGATTAGACAAAAGGAAATGAAGGGAAGGGAAGGGGAATGGGAATAGGAAAGATAGTAGAATGAATTGGACATTGCTGTACTATGTGCACATATGATTGCATGACTAATGTAATTCTCCATCATGTACAACCAGAAGAGTGAGAAGTGACACTCCATT